TGTCAAAGATAGGAACTGAAGAATAGAGACTAGCACGTTCGTGATCTGAAGCGGCATTTAGTGATTACAAGCTAGTCAACATATGTGTGAAGGTGGCACAAGTGTCAGCGAATGCTGAAAAGTCCTCCAGCGATATCCCAACATTCAACGATCAAATGAAGCTTACCATGAACGTTTGTTTTTGTCTTGTCCTTCCACACACTAAGACAAACTCATACCTTTTCCATAGTATAGTACTGTACGGAGACACTGAGTTGACTCTATAGTGCTAACCAATTCTATGAAAAAATGTCTACTCATGAACAGCCAAAAGGACTGTTTACTGTAGCAAAGGACAAGCTTTCCTCCAAAAGCTTGACATGTGTTGTGTACCTTCTGAAATGCATTTAATGTAATGAGTATAAATAGCTGAGTATTCTCTACTCAGTTATCACTTCCTATCTATCTTAACCAAGAAGTTACTTCTCTCACTGCTTTCTCTCTCTTTCTCTCAAGAGAAAGAACCACTTTGAACAAGTGAAGAACACATTTCCATGTCTTTATTTCTTACAACAAATCTTTTCTCTTTTCTCAGTGTAATTGTGTGTACCTCTAGATTGTTTGGATAAGTTTCTTTACCTTATCTTTTCCGCAAACAATTTGTGAAACTTGTATTGATCCTTCTTTATCAATATATAATTTTAAAAGTGAAAGTTTCTATGTTTTATTCATCCCCCTTTATTCAAACTATTACCTATAAACTCTTATAGATCCAACTGGGACCAACAATTACCCTCATTGAAGTCAGCCTTACACCCAACGCATCTGCAACCCAACAACTAAGAATGGGAAGATTTTTTCAAAGTTACTTTCTTTTCCTGTATTTTTAAATAGTAAAGACAATATCATGATTATTATATAAATAAATATCTTTAATTTGGATGCAGGGACATCTAAAAGCCAGAACTTTAAAAACATCATCATTGGCGTTTCCTGAATTATGTATAGTTGTTCGAGGAGACCTCTGCTACCAGATCTCGTGCTTATGCCCCTAGTTCAACCCGTGAGAGGACTACAGTTTCATCATCATCATCATCATCATCATCATCATCATCATCATCATCATCATCATCATCATCATCATCATTTACATCTCTTATCCACACTACCCAAAATGAGGAGGATGGAGATGAGGAGGAAGGACCAACTATCGATAATTCGAACGCAACTCCATCTAGACCGAATAAGAAGAGTAAAACCAAGGTCGACACAGATGAATTGGCTTTTGAAATGAGGGGTGCACTTCAGACACTTATTTCACAACAAATCACACTTGTTTCACAACAAACCTCAAACCTAAATGTTGTATTGAATGGTTGAACACTCTTGGCCTTGATAAAAGGAGTCCTATTTATAGTGCAACTATTGACATTTTTGGTCAGTCAACATTATTAAGAGAGACATGGTTGACGATCCCTTTAGACGTTGATATATTAACATCATGGATTTCAAGGATGACAAGAATATTGGGACTCATGGAGTAGTTTTTGGAATTTGAACCATTTACTTGGTTACTTGTTTTGTATTTGAACATGTTATTTGCTTATGTGTTTCATATTTGACTACTTGGTTACATATTTTAAGTATTTGAACAAGTTTTTGGAAGTTGAACAAGTTTGATATTGAACATGATTTTATTTATAATTTTATTTATGCTTTTAACAGGTTTATCATGGATGATAATCAAATCATCATGGACAACAATAAAAAACTATACTTCTCATCGTCATATTATTTGTATACGTTCTACTTGCAACAAATGCGTTTGAAAAGGAAAAGTTAATACATCTGCAATGACTGGACGTTAATTTACGGATAAGCTACTTGAAGGTAATGCCCGACAATGTATTGAGTTGTTGTGAATGTCCCCGAAGCTTCGTTCGACTATGTGACCACTTTAAAGCAAAAGGTTGGTTAACAGATAACAAACATATATTGGTCAAAGAAAATATGTCTATCTTCCTGAGATTATAGGTCATAATCAATGTTATAGAGTGCTCAAAAACAGGTTCCAAGACTCAACACAAACAATTCATAAAAAATTTCATGAAGTGTTGTATAAAATGATCGAGTTTGCTAAAGGATCATAGTTCCTACATCATTCAATCTTAATCCAGACATACCTGGGAAAAATAGGAGGTTACGACGAATATTTAAGGTAAATAATAATTCGATAATAGTTGTGTAACTTTCCTTACTAAATTTATTTTGACTACTAGCTTTAGTGTAGGGAGAAATTGGCGGCCTTGATGGAACTTTAATACATGCTATCATCCCTATTCAAGAACAACATTTATATAGAAAAACGAGGAAAGGGTGAATGTTATCCATATGTTTTGGCAATTTCTGACTTCAACATGGTTTATACATTTGTTGTTGCCAGATGGAAAAGAAATGGCGTTCGAAGCTTTAACAAATGGTGTTATTGGATTTACATTTCCTCCTTCAGGTATACTAATGATTTTAGAAGCAATATGTTTACTATATTCATATTAATAGCTATTTTATTTATTGTTTTTAGATAAATATTATCTATGTGATATAATACGCACTAAATATTTAGTGTTTAAACACTCTTTTCATCTATTTTAGATAGGACATTTTCCATTCATATCCAACATTGAATCACTTTATTCCCTTATTTTACACTTCTTTGTTTATGGAGCTAGTATAAATGATTTACCTGTTTTTATTCTATAGTAGGCTAATATGGACTTATTTTAGACAAATTAAAGCTGGTTGATGCTACTGGACTGCTGCAACATGACTTGTATTGTATGTGAAGAAAGGAAGGAGAGAGAACTTGGAGTTACATGACATGACAAGAGCTGACTTTTTGAAAGACATTTTTGTATTTCCTGTTGTATTTATTTTAATTAGCTGGAAATTTGTTGTCTAAGCTTAGTACAATTATACCTCTAACTATTTGCTTTAGTTGTACTTTTAGCTACTTTTTCTCTAAATTAGTATTAATTGTCTATTTTGCCCTCACCTCTATTTTAGTATAAATAGAGGGGTTGGGGTTTGTGTTTTAGTTTCTCTCTCTCTCTCTCTCTAGAAATATAAGTAAACTTTTGGTGAAAGTCTCCTCTAAGTTTTCTTTATTTCTTGCTCTTTAAATTCCGTCATTTATTTATTACACTTTCTTGCAATTTAATTTCCTTCATTTATTTATTACGTTTTTCGCTCTTTATTTTCCGTTATTTATATTCCGTCATTTACTTTCCGTGATTTAATTTTATGCCTTTATTTATCGCAATTTATATTTCTTGCAATTTACTTTCCGGTATGAGTAGCAAAATTTCTTAGCTCAGGTGTAAGACAGGAATGGTGAGTTTATAAATCAAATAAGGTAGACCTTCTTATGTAACAACGATGTTTCATTATTTCATTTCAAATTTTATAAAATCAATGACACTTCTTGACAAGTTGATCACTGAAAAGTGTTAAAGTGTCATGGACTCTAAGCTGAGCCATCCATTGCACATCAATTTAGATGATATGGGAAGTAGACTTGAGAGAGTTGCTAACAAAGAGATTTGTTATCCGTATTTTCTAAATTGTTAATTCTCGACAGTTTGATCATTTGAAGTGTTAAAGTGAAATGGACTAAGAGATGAGTCATTTAGAACACGTCAACTTGAATGATATGAGAATCCACTCGAGAGAGTATTTTTTAACAAAGAGATTTGTCTATCCATATATTTTGATGGCACCATTTGTCACTTTCACTGGTTTGGGTACCTCATAGAGATATAGACTGAAAGCTATAATATCAGTGTAATGGTGAAGTCCGAGAGAAATACCCTCAAAATAAATGGTGACAATAGTTGTTACTAATTGCATGTTGTAGCAATTTGCCAACATGGTTTCATGCTGTAGCATTTTGACAGCATTGGTCTACTGGAAATAGTATTTACATCTTACCCTGAGTCTTACACCTTGACTTTCTGTTATTTCCTCGCCTTCTGAAATCATTTCTTTCATATTATTCTTACTAAACTTTTACTACAATTCTAATGGACGATATCTGGTATTTATACCACTTTATTACTTGAAAGACGATATTGAGACTAATTGTATACTTGCTTTTGGCCGTGATTGATAAGTTTGTGGGTGTGTGAAAATGTACCTAACAAGTTTTTGGCGCCATTGTTAGGGATTGGTAAGCTAAAAGTTCTTTTGAAAGTAACCTTAAAGATTTGATTTTTCTAACACCGTTTGAATCGCTTTAAAGTAGTGTATGCCACGGATACACCGCAGGGAGTTTCTCGAATTCGATCTAGATATTGAGAGAACGTTCCGTCAAAGAAGAAGCGCTTAAAGAACAATTTCTGCTCTACTCCCTCCTAATATGGCATTACATCCCCCACTTGGTGAAGATATACCACTTCAAAATCCACCACTAGGGTTTGATCAAATACCAAGGTTTTAGCCTTTTCTTCCAAATCCACCACTTTTTGAAAACCCATCGGAACATCCTTTTCAACAAGGGCCACCATGTCAAGATGATGCACATAATGACACAAAATTTGAAAATAATGATCATCCACGAGCTCAAACTCCTACTATAATTAACTTGCAAACTCTAAAAATGGATGAATCATGGACTATGTTATTTCCGATTTTGAGTAATTGAACTCAGGAATAGTTGGACCTCATATGACTGCCCTCCATATTGATCTTAAATCAATCATGTTCCATATGTTGCAAAAAATGGACAATTTGCTAGATTACCATTGGAAGATCCTCACTCACATATAAAATCTTTCATGGAAAGTATTGATGTTTTCTTGATCCCGGGAGTGTTTAACGACGCTCTAAGACTTACTTTGATTGTATTTTCTTTATGGGATTGGGTAAAGTCATGGTTTAATTCATTACCACCAAGTTCTGTACCATCACAGAGCAATATGACTGAAAAGTTTTTGCGAAAATATTTTCCACCCACCAGGAACGCAAAGTCCAAAAATAAAATCTGTCTTTTTAAACAAATGAACGATGAAGTTGTTCCTGATGCATAGAGAGGTTTAAAGATTTGTTGAGAAATGCTCTCACCATGACATTCCTTACTGTATTCAACTCAAGACATTCTATAATGGGTTAACTCCCATGGCTAAACAGATTCTCGATGCGACTGCAGGCGGGGCCTTTTCAGCTAGAACCTACAATGAAGGTCATGAAATTCTCGAAAAGATCTTTGCAAACAATGGACATTGGGCTGATCCACGCGCCTAACCACAAAAGAAGATAGTTGGAATTCATGATGTAGATGCATACACTGCATTAACAGCACAACTCACTTCCATGGCCACCATGCTTAAATACCTAACTTCTGGCCAAGTAGTGCAACCAACTGTTACTACACCTGTTCCAAGCAGTCCTCTCAGTGTAGTGTGTTTGTTGTGGAGGGGAACACTCGTATGAACATTATCCTCATAACTCTGAATCTGTAAACTATGATTATAATTAGGGGTGTAAATGATTCGAGTCGAGCTCGAGTATCACTATACTCTACTCGAACTCGAAACCGAATTTCCAAGCTCGAACTCGACTCGAAAACTCACGAGTAGTAAAAATCAGAGCTCGACTCGAACTCGATAACTATTTCTCAAGCTCGAACTCGAACTCGAACTAAGCTCGAATCAAGCTCGAACTCGAACTCGAATCAAGCTCGAACCAAACTCACTCATTGAAATTTAWAAAACTTAGGGTCTTTCTCTTATAAATTTTAAAACTTAAAAGTGTTCTCTTAGTTTTTATAAAAATAAAGAGATCAACTTCAAACTTCATCATCAAAAAGACAAAGTTAGAAAAT